CCCACCCCACAGCCTCCTAGCCACCACTGGCTGCCCAGAGCCCCAGCGGTGGCTGGCCCCTCCCCCAATCCTGTCCCCGGTCTCTATTAAGGAGGCATCACCTCTCCACTGAGCCACACAACAGGCTGACCCCAGAAAGAGCCAAGTGCTGGGCCCCACCTTCACTGATCACAGAGCCATAGCTCCCCTCAGCCCCTCGGCCACCTCCAGGACCCCAGAGCTCCGCAGCCACCAGTATGGTCCTAGGGATTCAAGGGTCCCCATATTGCATGATAAGGCGGGGGAAGTGTCCATCCAAAAAGGTCACAGAAGAGAAGCACTCCCTGTTTTGATTAGACCTGAGACCCCTCCCTCTAGACATCGCCTGAAGCCTATCCCTCCTCTTGCCCAGCTTTCACTCGGCTCCAAGAATGAGCCCACCTGCCAGGCTCCCTGTTGCTGTACTCTCCACTCGCACTCTGCACTCCACTCACTCCCATGAACCTGCCCAGCAGTGGAAGCCACGCCTCCGGCACCCACCCCAGCCCCATGCCTCTACTCAGCCAGGCCTTGACATCTGCCTGCCTCCCTCCCCCCCTCTTCCCCACCCCAAACCAAGACAGCAAGGGCTTTACACAGGGGAGCTCAGGGCAGGGCCCAGCACTGGGGCTGACCTTACTGGCCTCGGAAGAGTGCTTTCAGTGACCACACTCCCTGCTGAAGGAGCTGCTCCAACACCAACCCACGCAGAACTCTTTCACCATCACTCAGGTGAGGCCATTGCTAGCGGAGGAAGTCCCACTGCAGAGGTTCCGCCTCTCTTTCTCCAGCTCCGGAGGGCCTGCAGGGCCCCCGGCGCACAGTCTCATTTCGCAGGTATCTGAAGCATCCACTGACTCCACAGTACTAGGTATTCACGCTGAGCTCAGGGCACCTTTACCCCTTCCGGGGTTGGGGCAGAGGAGGGAGGAAATGCTAAGTCAGTTTCCTTCTCTCTCTCTCTCTCTCTCTCTCTCTCTCTCTCTCTCTCTCTCTCTCTCTCTCTCTCTCTAGAAGGAAGAAAGAAACCCCAGGAGGGTATTACATGGGTTCCCATAAGGCTCACTCACTTTACAAGCTCCTTTTGCACCCTGAAACATGCTGGGATGGGAGGTGACCCTGACAGGCAGCAGGTCTATTCTAGGCAGAAGCTCCTCTGCATCTTACTGCAGCTATGGCAGAAACTAGTTTTGGAAGCAGCTGCAAGAACCCAAAGTCAGGAGGCTATAGAGAAAGAGGCTGAAAATGCCAGGCCCATTCCGTCCTGTCGTCGGGTGAAGGGTCTGATCCAAACAATTCCTCCTTCCTGCTTTCTCTCTATGTCCTCCCTCATAAGTCCCCTGCCTCCTAGTGCCACCCTATTACAAGATAGCCACAGGGTCCAAACTGTCTCTAGGGTTTGGGGAATGCAGCCCACACACACACCTCTCTGGTCTATAACTTGCCCCTTTATCTCTCGCCGGGAGTAGCCAGGTACCAGCCTGCCTCTGCTGTCCACTCCCCTCCCCCAGCTTCTCAAACAGCATTAGTGAAGTGACAAATCCACCCTGAGGAGCAGACGTGACATGTAATTTCCGGCCAAGAGGATTTTTCCAAAACAATCTACCGTATTCTCGGGAATATATGCCAACCCCACTTCCAAGCCAGCCCTCCCCCACCTCTGCCCTCTCTCTTCTCCAAGCCCCAGAGGGAACACAACACATTAGGGGAAGGGGAGGGCACTGACAGCTCCTCTCCCAGCCAGAGGATTATCCTGCCTCCACACGTCAGCCCCACCAAGCCCAGTCAGCCTCAACTCACCCTCTGTGAGCACGGCCAAAGCTTCTGAGCCAAGTCCAGACTGGTTCCCCCTCAGTACCTCATCCCAGAGGGAACTGCACCAGGCAGCCCCACACCTTGAGGTCAGTCCAGGCCCGACACCACAACTGGTCTGAGAAGCAGGCTGGCCAGGGGCCAAGGGAGAGAAGGGGATGATTCAGACGCATACCATGACCGTCCACACCCTCTCCATCTCCAGGACACAGGGGCCCCACTCCCTCCCAGGGGAGCTTGGCAGCTGAGGTCCTGAGGACCGGCAAGGCTGAGGCATATGTGCCAACAGTGCTGGGCCTACGGGCCCACAGTCCAGCCCTAAAGCCTCTTCAGCCATCTCCTTAACTCTTAGTATTTCCTACGACTTCTGAACGTGCCCTGCCTTTCTCAGTGGATGCTCCGCTCCCTGGAGGTCATCTCCTCTCCTGCCAGGCCTCCCATTACCACCACACGCTGTCTGTCTCCATTTCTGCGCTCCTGAAGCTCTCCAGACCCACTTTTCCAGGCATTTACAGGGCAGCCTCACCAGGAGGATGCATAAGTACCACACGTTCTGCATATCCAAACTGAGCTCACCATCACGCACTTAAATCTAGCTAATGAGTACTCCTGTACCCTGACTGAAAACATCCCAAGCCAACACCAGCCACCCAGGCTAAAAGCCTCACCTCTGCCCGCCACAAAATCTTGTTTCTGCCTCCTCATTATTCCTCCCATCAATACCACTGGGATCAAAAACTCAGACAGACAGACCTGAGCTGAAATCCTGGCTCTGTCACATTCTAGTTGGACAATTTTGGGGCAAATGACTTAACCTCTAAGCCTCAATTTCCTCACCTGTAAGATGGGGACAAATATTTCCTTCATAGAGTGTAGATTCCATGAGATAATAGCACACTTAGCACAGTACCTAACACATAGTTGCCTATTGCTATTACTGTCATCTGAACACAGATCTGAAGTCCCTCCCCTGCTGATAGCATTTGGTAGCTTCTCATTGAGCCAAATACAAGGCCATTCAGGATCCACTCCTTGCCTATGTGTCCAACTCCATCTCTTACCATTCCCTTCAAATATCTCCATGTTCAAACTGTCAAATGCTTGCCCTTCCCTTGACACCCTCTTTAATTTTCACGTCTCTGAGCTATGTTATTCTCTTTGTAATACTCCTTCTCTTTGTCTACATGATGAACTCCTACACACCCAAGACCTAAATCAAATGTCATTTCCTCTATCCTAAATTCCCCTAGCCTACCCCCAAATGGTTATTTTTGCCATGCTTCTCAGGTTATTGTGTTAATATAATGTTTGAAAACAATAACAGTATAAACACACAACAGTAAATGTAGAAAACAGCCAAAACAATTAAAAATTTTAAATTATCTGTCATGCTCTCAGCCTTAAAGGCTCAGTATTCCTGTAACACTCTGTATTAATACATCTATTGAGGGAGCCCTACGCACACAATTCTACTGTGATCTGTACATTGTAAAGTAACGATCTGTTTATATGTCATCTGGAAGGCAGAATCTGTCACAGCATCTGATCAAGACCATTTGCTGAAAAGTATTTCAAGCCTTTGTGACGGACACTGAAGAAAGGAACCCTGACTCTTTTCCAGTGAGCTGGTGCCATCTCACCTCCAGTGGATACCAGGAATAAGCCTGTTGCTTTCCCCCGGCCCTGGCTTTACTCCCTGCACACTCCCACCCTCACTCCCACCATTATTTCAAAGCAAGTAAAGCAAGCACCTTCATGAGAAGAGATGCTGCCAATCTCATTATAGCTGCTCCTGTCCCAGACCCACTAAGTTACTTTGCGCCCACAAAGCCATTTCAGCCCTAGGGACAACATGGTCGTTCACTCAGGCAGAAGGAGAGCCATGAATCAGCCTTCTCCACGAAGGCTGCCTTCTCATCAAACTCTGGAGGGAGGGCTGAGGTACAGGATCCCACATGATTGATGGGAAGGAAGTCGGGTTTGTCAGGCATACCAGCCTTAATGAGAGAATGAGGAGGGGCACAAGCGGGGGACAGAGTGGGAAGGCAGGGCGCGGAAGCAGGGAAAGACACATCAGATATAGGGGCCCTCCTATACTTCATCTCCTTTGACTCCAAAGAAGACAGAGGTGTAACTTTCAGACATGAAAGCAGAGGATCTGACTAAACACCATGACACGACCCACACTGAATTCAACACCTTATCACATGTACCAGCTTGGTCTTGAAAGTATTTTGTAGCTATTTCATGCTCCACCAGCTAAAGACTGGCGTGCCAACCCTGACACCCAGAGACAGGACACTGAGAGCCCTAACACATTCCTGGAGCGTCCCACCCCCCCGCACACACACACCACTCGAGTGTGACACAGAATGAATTCCTGCAGCTGTCTGGGTCTTGTGCACAGGCACACCATGCACGCTGGGGTGCCAGGGCTGAGACGCAGGGTATTGCCGAGAGCTTCCTCTCACCACTCCTCTGGCCCAGGCATCATCACGGTACCAAGGCTCAGGAAGGGAGAAGGATGTAGTCCCAGCAGCCAGCCACCCCCAGAGCCCTTCCAGGGCTGGGCAGGGGCTGCCCAGTGAGTTACCCAGCCTGCTGGCTCAGGCCTCACCCCACCCCCACCCCCTCATCGACAGCCTAGAGCTGAAGGGGCCTATTGTTGGGCCCTGAAGGTGGGGTAGGGGAAAGAAGCCAGAGCTGTGAATTGTAAAGCATTTACTCTGCAAGCGGGACTGCTCATCCCCTGGGGACCATATCCACACCAGAACCCCAGGAGCTAGGAACATCCAGGGTAGAGCAGGCCAGGCTGCAGTATCCAGGAGGAGTCTGAACCTGGGAGTAAGAGAAACGTCAGGGACTTCAAGGTATTTAAGATACCTTAAATCCCACAATATCCTGCCCACCCACGTTAGCAATGGAGAAACTGAGACTTTAAAAGGGGAAGAGACTTGCCTGGTCCATAGCATTTAAGAACCTGTCGTAAGGAATGGATCTCCAGGAGCTGGGGGAAGTCAGCGGTTCAGAGTGATGGTAATTCTCTTCTGGCCATGGAGGGGCAGCCCTGCCAAAGTCAGGGCCTAGTAAAGGTCAGCTGCCTCATGAGGAGACACAGCATACAGAGGACAGGCAGACACAAGAACCCAGTGTTCTCCGACACCCAGCTGAGGCCCTCGGCTCCAGGGTTCCCAGGATGCACAGCTGCTGAAGGGAGAGATCAGATGAAACCTCTCACCCCATACCCCTCCTCAGTCGCTCAGCATGTACCTCCTATGTGCTCACCCTGTGCTAGGGTTTGGGGGGGCATATAAAGAAAGAGAAGTCATGGTCTGGGTCCTCATGAAGACACTGTGTGCAGGTTCTTTACTAAAAGCTTTATCTTCATTGGCCAATTAACCCCCGCCACTTACTACCCTACACTAGCCCCATTTTACAGATAAGGAAATTTGGGCTCTGGAGAGGTGACTGACCAGGGTCACCCAGAAAGTAAGTGATGAAGCCAGGATTTAGTCCATATACAAGTGCACACTGCATTGCTTGGTTCAGGGATGTGGGCCGATGGAGGGCAGAGCTGGAGTCTTATTTGTTAAACATATCCTGGATGCTGAACGGATTCATGGATTCGGTGAGGAAGTTTAAAGACGGGACAGAGGTTCCAGGAAAAGACAGTAACTTTCAAACATGCACATAAATTTCACTTCTTCCCAAAATCCCACCAAAACTACAACTTAAAAAAGAGAAATTTTCTGAATGGCAGAAGTCCCCGAAGGATGGAAAGAACAGTAGAGACAATCACTACAAAACTTGGGAAGCTGGAAAGCAGATGGGCCAGTGATGACTGAAAGGATGTGGTCTTCCAAAACTAGAGAGTAAACCAACAAAGGAGAAGACACAGGATATAGGAAAACAGGAGATACAACACGGAAGGGCTGTGAAGGAAATGCCCAGGATGCTGACAGGAGATCCTGGGAGGACAGCTAAGCATCAGTGAAAGGAAGCAATCAGTCCGTGCTGCTCCAGGACACATGGCTCTGAGACATTTTCCAAAAGATGAATTTGATAGAATACCTAATTGAAATGACATCTTGAGAAATTTAGACAGCTACTGGAGACTGTGACTAATTGAAAGGTACATAGAAAACTACGCAAACAAAAAAAGCTACTCTAGGGAGAACAAAAAGTTGTGCAGGAAAGGAAAAGTCATCCCAGTTTATTATACCATAACAATATAAACATGGACAGTAGATTGAAAAAAAAAAAAGAGATGAATCTAGAGTGGATGGACTGAAAGATGGAAAGGGTTAAAAGGTGGAAGAGGGGATTAAAGTCAAATCCTCATCTTTGACCAAGATGGAATAACAGAGATCAGGTTTAACCTCCTGACTGAAATAACAAAAACAAAAAAGACAAAACATACAAAATAGTTTTCAAGACACCAGATATCATGAAACAAAGGACAGTGATACCTATGAGACAGAAAACAAAGGAGCTCAGCCCTACCACTGGGTTTCTAAGCTACACCACAGGAAAGGAAACTAGTCAGACCCCAAAAGACTCCCTGAAGTGGGGAGATGGAGCTGAGAGTGGGGAGACTCAGGTGGCCAGAGTTCACAGAATAGAGAATCAGAAAAGAGAGAGCACCACAGAGGTCTGTAAAGGGTCCCCTTGAATATTCAGCTGAGTACTGATCATCACATGAATGTACAGAAACTACCTAAGGCTGGGGCGGGGGTACCCCAAAAGGATTACAAGTTAACGGTGCCTGGTGCTCACAAGGCTTGGAAAAGTGCCTATTTTTAACAGCCAGACTAGAAAAGCTAGGCAATGGGCGGAACACACAAATGGGTCCTGCCTCAGCAGTGGGGAATCATTAGCCCTAGATTGAGCACAGCTCTGGTCCCACCTAACGAATTTTAAAAACAAGACCCAAGAGGATCATAC